TGTGCAATCCTATTAGCTTAGTTTGATATAGACGTTAGGTGGCATGACCCTTTTGAACTGTATCATGTTAGTCCTAAAAATCTCTAAAGAAATTGAGTCGATGCATGCTCATTCTCTACGAGTAAACTTGTTTACTCACCCCGAAGTTACTGGGGCGCTGTTTCAGGTATGAAGACTTGGTGCATGATGTTCATCATTGCTTGGATGATAGTTGACTTGAAGGCTTTAGTTCTTGTAAAGGTTGGCTTGAAATGCCATTTGTAGCCTAAATTGTCAAAATGTGTATATTTGATTCCATATATGTAATGTGTACATGAGTATACTCTTTATAATGTATTTGACATGTATAAGATGAGGCCGGAGGCCAATGACATGTATTTTGTATCCTATGTAATCTATGACTTCATGAAATATTGTGGAATTATTAAAAAATGCCAAGTCATTGCGTCACCATGTTTGCATCGGGTGTGGGAATTCCATTTTGATTCTTTCGTAGGATCTCATTAGCCATGTATGAGGTGTGTCCAATGGCCAAACGGTCATTTGAGGTCATTCGTTAATTTTGGATTTCAAAATTTCCATTTCAAGTTCATTTTCGCCTTTTTGGCCGTTGGGGGATTGGATTTTGACTCGGCCATTTTCGGAAGTCGCGGACCATTTCCGCAAGCTTAAAATCACTTATTACGTGCGCGTGCATATTTGTTCCGGTTTAGAAGTGCATTTGGGGTCAAATGTATTCTTGGTGCAAAGTTGCATTTTCGCCTTTTTGAGCCTAAACTAATCTAAGGGCATTATGGGGATATCCTTTAGGAAATAAATTCCGTTCTCAAATCTGTCACATAGAAAATATGATTTTAGGGGGAGTTTCATTTTCGTGTTTTTTCGAAAAATGTCATCTTGACCTCATAAACTGCGCTCCAAGTTCAATTTGCTGCTAAAAACACTGTTCCTGCAATTTTTGAGGTTCCAGCCCATGCCACTGCCCCATTTGGCGGGCGCCTGTGGCTTACTGCCGCATTTGGCGGGCCCCGGCGGGTACTGTTCCTGCTCCAGATATTTTTTTTCAACGGACCATATCTAACTCGTTTTAACTCTGAATTGGTCCATTCTTGAGTCTAAATTGACCGCGTCGAAATAAGCTTTCCAATGGTACCAATTAGAGCTTCAGATTCCATTTGTAGCTCAAGTTATTCATGTTTTAGTGAAGTAGTGTCAGGATTTGGTTCGAACCGGGATAGGGTTTCCCTTCCTTCGACTTCAAGACTTGATATTTTTTCCGTCCGGACTCCGAATCAGGTGATTCTTGAGTCTAAATTCATTAATTTTTTGTTTTCTTTCCAATGGTACCAGTTTCAGCTTCACAATTTTCTCATAACTCAAGATATCCTTGTTTTAGTAAGAGGGTGTCGGATTTGGTTTGAACCGGGATAGGGTTCATCTGGGATTTCTCTTCCTTTGGCCTTGGGACTTCATGTGAAGTTACCAAAGGGTGTTTTAGGATGTTTTAGATCTAATTTGACTTATTGAAAGTTAAATTCCTTCCTCTTAGGGTAAAATGACCATTTTACCCCTGGTTCTTCTCTTGTAGGGTTTTGATGCCCTTTTCATCATTTTGTTTCCGTTGAGTCTCGAAACTCTTTGAGAGTCCATTCTTGTGCCCTAGGGATGACGTACATCTCTAAGGACTTGTCTTTGTCTGGCTTCCGCACTTTATTCATTTGAATCCCGTGGCTCCATAGGGAGTCATCGTGGTGCCTAGGGATGGCGTACATCTCTTGAGGTCATTTTGCTTCTTTTACTTCCGCATCTTGGATCTGGTTTGGGTCATCACAGGACACACTGGGTTGAAAAATTCAGAGTCGTTACAGGGTTGCAAGGAGAGGCATTTGCGTATGGGTACTGTGTGTACATATATTTGTGAGTGTGTAATATATATAATACACAAGAATATAGCGAGTATAGAGTAAGCGCGAGTAAGAGATGGGAGCAATGTGTTCAGAGAGCAATTCTCAATTTATGAACGCTATCTTAGGCGATGTTGGTTATGTGCTCGAAGATGTTACTCACTTGATTGATTACATTCCGAGTCTCCCTGTATGTTCTTCTCTCTCTCTATAAATGAAAGGTTATTTTTGGTATTATTGCCCCTAATCATTGAGACATTATAGAGATGAGAAAGAAATAGATTTGATCACAGAATAAGTTCCACAAGACCAAGACGAACACGACGCTGCAAACAAAAGCCATAGACGACGTTACACACGCCTACATGCACCACTTGAAATTTTGCGCGTATATCTCACGCACCGTCGCGCACCCCACGTGTCTTCTCCAGTGCTAGCGAATTTTCCGGCAAGAACTCGGTCACATCTTCGCGCGAGCTGAGCCGTTTAGCCAGTACCAGCCGAGCCATATATAGGTGAGGGGCAAAATAGGAATCAAAAGGGTAAAATAGGGTTTTCATATTTAGTTTTGGTTATAAAGTGGTCAGAGGGGCTTATTTGTACCTTTTTTGAATTTTATGGACTAACATGCACATTTTCAAAAAGGAGGGACTAGTTTTGCACAAACCCTATATATCATGGGTGTTTTTTTTGCATTTAATCCTAATTTTAAATGTTCAATTCATTAAAGGTAGAAGTTGGAATTTGAATGTTATACCTATTATATTTTAGATATTAATATCTTTTTTTTGAAGAAGTATCTTAATATCTTCTACACATGATATTGTTATAAAATATATTGTATATATAATATAAATAAACATGTAAAGCAATGAATTTCACTAAAAGAAATATATTAATTTAACAATGAATTTCACTAAAAGAAATATATTAATTTAACAATGAATTTTAATGTCAAAATTAATCATAGAAGTATCCAAATCAGAACACAATTCATGTGTAAAGATAGTACGTGTGAAAGAATTATATTCTAGGAATAATTATATTACCTCAATGTAATTAAATATCAGTTCAATTTTCGCTCCACTCTTCTAACTTTAGTTTTAAATTTTAAATGTATATGAGTTGGCTCGATTTGAGAAGTTAGGTTGATGAAAAAGCTGATTACGGTTATGCGGTTAGAAGAAAAGTTTTATACTTGACTTGGGCACAATATACAACCTTAATTAAATTGCTTAATCTATATAATTAATTGATATATTTTTCACGTTTGTTTGTACAGAGGTGTTTAAACCTTAATGTGTTATCGTCTAATTATTACATATAAAATCTTTTAATGTAATTTTGTATTGTGGTAAAAAGGGTTACAAGAAAAGAGCCTCAAAACTTTTGAGATTCACATCATGTCGGACTCAAACTTTTAATCTTCCCTTTTGAGGAGGATCATACCATTAAACTAATTTTTTTTTTGGTTTGAGACTTTAATCTGTGGCTTTTAAATTGATTGAATAAATTAGTTTTATTTTTGTTTAGAATCTTAACATATTTAGGTATATAATCAATTTGAATTTTTTGATCATTGAATTAAGACATACAAAAGGTGTGACAACTCTGATATTTTCCCAAACTTATTAAAATGAAAAGTTGTGGTTTAAAGAGAGAAAAAACTTGTTAGGGATTTTATTTATTTATTTATTTTTTGCCTTCTTCTTTTTACCATGGTTTTAACTCATAAATTACTATGTACCTTTTGTTTCTATTTTAGAAGATAGAAGAAGTATCACTAAATTATGAATCTTGATAGTAAGAAAAAAAAAAAAAGATATTTATATGAAAGTATGTTTTGTTCTCCTTGAGGAACGAAAAATTATATAGCTTTGACTGTTTAAGAAAAAAGGGCAAATTTTTTGGTCCAAGTTTTTTATTTTTTTCTATTCAATAATTGTTTGTAGGCCTATGAGTAAAGGTTTGGAAGTTTCAACTCTCTTTAGAATGATAGATGGAAAATTGGTTAGAAGAGAGAAGATGATGAATTCAACGAAAGTGACATTGTTAGAGAAGGAAAGAGTGTTTATTTTTTCATTTTTTTGGTTTACTTATGAATTTATCAATAGACCATTAGATATATAAATTAATATATTTAAATAAAATAAAATTTTCACAAATATCACATATATATTTTTTTCTCATTTAAGTCATCTTCCACTCACGTTTGATGAAAGCAAAATATGATTAGCGCGCGCGCGCATACACACACACACATATATATAAACTTGACCCATTCCTTTTTCTCTTCCCTCCCACCAAACTCCACTACGAATGCAACTTGCCCGTCTATTTGATCTTTTCAAAGTTTCAACTCGCACATGCTCCATGATTGTACAATTGACATTGAATTTCTTTATTTTTATTTTTATAATAGTGATATTTTGATAAGCATTTTATTTTTAATATATGTTATCTCCGTCTCAATATAAATATCCACGTTATAAGGAGTATATATTTTATAATAGTAAATAGTAAAAAAAATATATTTAGTAAAAAATATTTTATTTTACAAAATATTTAAACATTTCGTGACTAAAAATTGAAATATCAATTTAGTGTTTTTACATATTTGAGCATTGTAACAATGACTAATTTTACAATGAATAATAATTTTATTTTATTTTATTTACTAAAAAATTTCAATTTAAATTAATTATTATATTTTTTAAACTTGTAAATTTTTTTTTTCAAATATATATTTGTTAAATTTTTTTTCATAAAACGTTGTCATACATTTTTTAATTACTACGTACTATTCAAAATATTATAGGACAAGATGCTAATTTAGTTTCAAACTAAAATAAATTCGCAAAAACAAAACATGTACCAAACTTCTGTAATATTCGGAATCGTATTGGAATCGTCCATCAAGTCCGTCCACCACAGATCCGGAATTACTGAAAATTTTCTCAAAATTCAAGCGAAGGGCCCAATCCGGGCCTTCCATTTGTGATCATCATATCAGATAAGATAAGCATCAGAACCGTCCGATACTAGAGTCCAATTACAGTAACATAACCAGATCTGTCATCTGTTGTGTTGGCACACCAAAACCATTTGCCAACCACAACCACAACCACAACCACAACCACAAACAGGAGAGAGAAAGTTAGTTCCTCGCTGATTAGGGCGTTTTGCTTCTGTTTGTTTTGCGCTCCAATAAATTCAACGAAGATCGTTTGGTTCCGCGTGGAAGGTATTGCATAGCAAATTTACCAATTTAGTCTGTCTCCGAGTTCTTAGAAACCCGCTTCTATAGTAAGTTGCTTTCGAATTCAAAAATTCTCGATTCACACACTTATATATATATATGAATGTTCTGTTTTTGTACTAGTTTGTTTGACATAGAAGAAATCACTATAGAGCTATGAACACCGGATTTGTAGTTTTAAGATTTCAAAAATTGCATGAAATAATTTTGGATAAAATATATATATATATATATATATTTCCTGTGTTTATGTCGGTTGTCTCTAATAAATTTATTGGGCTTCGTGCTATAAACTACTTACATTTCCTATGGATTTCTGGAATTGAGAGACATGTTGCTTTAGGGACTTGAATTCTGGCACCTGTATCGAATGGTTGACTAGTTTGAAAAAATTGGTATAACTCACTTCATTTTTCAATTTTAGTCATGAGAACCAATTATTTTCTAATTAAGTTTATGATGGCAAGTTTATCATATCTGGGTACATTACTGCTAATTGACAAGTACCTCCATAGTAAAAGTGTGTGTGAAATGTTAACATATATATAAGTTTGCAGGTGAGCTGTTCTTTTCAGGGAACTGTGTTTTTTTGTCTTCCGTAGGTTAACATTATTGCTAAAGCTCCTTTTTTTCCTTTCCTTCTAGAGTTAGTGAAGGTACACTATTCGACTGGGTTGGAGTTTATTTTCTGTTGTAATAAGTGCTTATAACATTTACTTTCTGAATTAAAGTGGCAATAACATTTCCCTACAGTACTAAATCACCATATTAACTTGAATTAGAGAATTATCTGACCGTCACGGCTATATCCTTACCTTGGTAATATAGTTTGATTTGAGTTGTAGAAAGCATTAGGAACAAGAACAACGTCATGATATTGAAACGATTGGAATTTTGAGTCAAAACTGAAGGTCACTCCATAGGCCTAACCAATTCGTTTTAATGTTCGATTTGACTTCTACAACTGGGAAGTGGGTGATGTAAAATTATTAGGGTGTTTGTGTGTTCAATGCAGGATCTCATAAAGATCTATTGTGCATAGGCATCAACCGAATTGAAGCCTATTTTATTGTGATACCATCATGAAGTACTTGGAATACACACCTCTTGATCGGTAATTGTCAAACTATTCATTTTAGGACAAACATGATTAATCTTCCTCTTTCAGTACATATCTTAATCTGATTTTGTAAGTTATTTTCTACTTTTTTGTTTCTTCAAATTTGCCTCTGATATCAAGTTGGGATTTATTATGTTTCCAGTATAAATGACTTCTTAAGTCATGTGAATCTTGGAGAGCGTACCATCAAAGGATGCCTTGAAGCGTACTCTTGTAAGTGAAATTTGCTGCTACTTGGTAAAGTTGTCTTCAAACTTTTTTCTTCATTTTTTTTACCATGTCAGGATTTTAAGAACATGGAGTTTTGTTTTATTTTGTTTCTCTTTTCTAGGCAAACATACGGGAACAGATAAGAAACTGTCTCTCAGTTTGGAACATGAGGTAGTTCAAATGCATGAAATTTATTACATGTTTGATTTATATCCCCGTTCTCTTATTCTATTCCCCGCCAGGGGACAAATTAATTTGTTTATTTATGTCAGTGTCCCCTCTGCTGAAGTTTTCTTTCCCTTTCCCCCCTTATTTTCAATCCTTCCAAAATGCAACTTTGAAGTTTTAATTTGGTTAATTACTTGCTTTGTCATGTTGAACAATCTTAATTCATGATTGGCATCTTTATTAAGGATATCTACATGTTCTTTCAATTTGATGAAATGGAAAGCAAAAATAAGAAAATTTTCTCTTCTGAGGGAAGTTGAGCTCCAGTTCAAAAGCAAAGAGTAACAAAAAAAAAGGAAAAAGGGATGAGAAGAACTCATTTCTTTAACTATTTTAACCAAACTTTAAAACTAAACTAATGTTCCAATATTTTATTTGAAGCTCATACAAACTATTAATAAATATTTTGAAACAGAAAAGGGTAAAGTGCACAAAACACCAGTTTGATACCAATACAGTGTGTATACCCCCGTGTAGTATAAAACACCCCCAAGTTTTAAAAGTGTTCAAATAAGGACCTACTCTCACTTTTCCGATCAAAAAGACTAACTTGCCATTATATCAGTATAATAAGATAATATTAAAGAGTAAGGTATTGTAAAATGACTATTTGGGACATGTCTCAATGCCTTCTTCTCTCTCTCTACTTCAGGTCTCTCTCACATGTTTGTGTGTGAAGAAAAGTTCTTTGAAACCTCACACCACAGATTTTCGGCTACATTTTCCAAATGGGTTTGAGTCGTTTGAATTCTTCACTTCTCTCTCACGCGTTTATTGGTCTTATCAATGGTAGCAGCTTATATGCTATGGTTCATTTCCATCACACAGTCGCTAAAGGGTCCACGTGTCTGGCCCTTATTGGGCGGCCTACCGGTGGTAAGAACCCCATACATACAGAATACATTGTGATCTCTTATTCTTTGCTAAGCGACTCAACCCCAATTAGTTTGCTCAATTCTTTTTGGTTGAAGGAATAATAGAAACCTTCACTTTCTATCTGGTATTCAACCTTTCCACATCAAAATTTCCAGAATTCAGATCTCTATCATTCCTACCCAAAAGAATGGGCAAGCTAGACTTCTTGAAGATTTAGGGTCTTTTCTTTCTACAATCAAGATAGGTTTGAGATGTAATTTTTAATTCGATTGGTATGGCTGCATTGGTTGTTAAGTTTGTTTTGTTGTTCTTTTTATTTCTTTGGGTATATTTTCTTGCATGGCTAGGGGTGTATAGCTGCACTATAGAATATAGATTTAGAACAAGTGAAGGTGCCAATGTAGGGTATTGTTCCACACCTGTAAAGGAGTAGATATTGACATGGCATGCCAACCAAATCAGACTACATCATTCAATGAAATGAATCCCACTCAAATAAAAAACTTTCCTTAACTAATTTGAATGGTGTATTCTGCTAGGGTGGGCATACCAATGACGTGGTATGCCCGGCTCACTCAATAGTCAATATCTTGTCCCTGTAAAGACGGTTGTGACGGTTGTGAAGTCAGGATAGCATGCCAAGTTATGGAGCTCAAAAAGCATCAAACTATCTCAATTACGATTTGCAAGAGGGTGGAAAGGACCAACAAAAGGGTAACCAAGAAGCCCAACACATTTAGGGCTTTCACTTTCTCCAAAAGTAAAATCATGATTTTCATTTCTGAATCTGAAATATAAAGTAGAATTATGTTTACTAATTTGTCATGCTTTCAATATTTTCAAAGCAAGAAATTAGAAAGCAAGTTCAATAATTATAATTTTTATTTTGTTTTCTAAATTCACAGTTACTGTTATATACTATATATATATATGTGTATATATATATCGTCACTGCTACAATTGACACCGGGAATGGACCGCCACGAAGGGATTGAGATGAAGATAACAAAATTCCAGATCTAATTTCGTGGGAAGCTCCTGAAATCAAAGGGCATCGCAAGACCCAGATCCCCTTCGACCAAAGAAGCCAGTAGTGCAGATTGGTCTTACAAGATAGAGAAAGTGATTCCTGATTTAGAAGCCAGAATTGTTATCAAGAGGCTGAAGCTCTAGTAAGAGGAACAGGGGAAGCATGTTATTTCGACCGAAACTTTGTCATCTGGTCAGTGCATATAGAACTGGGGAGCTTGCAAGTTCAAGATTCTGGTCATTTGTGACTTACTCTCTCTTAATCAATTCCTTTAACTTATTTCTTTTTATCGGGAGTGTTTGTAGAGAGAGAAAGAGAGAGATAGAGGAGAGAGGTGTTTTAACATAAACCAAAGAAGATTTCGGATGTGGCAATGATGGCGGTGGTTGTCAGCAATGGCGATGGTGGCGGTGGTTGTCGACAGCGACGGTTTGCGCTTTCGGTTTTTTTTTTCTTTTCTTTTCTGTGACTGGTCAAAGTTGATTTGGGTATATGTTGATGGCTTTTGATGTGTATGAGAGAGAAGAGACATGGTTGTGGCAGTGGCTATGGTGGGAGGAGGTGGCAGTGGCAATGACCATGGCGGGGAGGAGGTGGGTGGAGGAGATGGGTGATACAGAAGACCTGTTAGAATATTTTTTTTTTATAATTTTTTATTTATTTTATAAATAGTGCTACAGTAGAGAAAGTGATTTCTATAAACAGTGTAGAAAATAGAGAAAGTGAGGATTTCTCACTTTCTCTTCTCTTCACAAAATTAGAAAGTACTTTCTTAAAATAAAAAAGTGAAAGTATTTTATTAAACATGATTTTTACTTTTGATTCTCAATTTTAGGAATTGACAGCAGAAATTAGGAATTATTCGTGTTAGTGAACAGGCCCTTAGCATATCTGATGGTCCAGAGATGCTTTCTTTTATTAACTCCCTTTCATTGACTTCTTGCATCAGTTACTGATTCATTGTGTTAATTAACCTTTTGATATCCAACCAGACTGGATTCATAACAATTTTCTTTTCCTTATATCAGCATTTGAAGCAAAAGTTATCAAAACGAAGCTTCATGGAAGTAAGAGCAACAGAACAGATATCGTGAGGCTTCCTCTGCATTATATAACAAGGCTTCGCTGAAGTCGGGAAAACATGCCGAGTTATGGCTTGTGCAAGTCGCTTGGAAAATCTAGCAAGGATTTATGATTGTAATTTACTGAAAAAAAGGATTTATGATTATACGCTTAGATGTTAGGCTGCAATATAATTTACAGTATATTCGTATGTGCATCTATAAGAGATCACAATTGTGAGAGAGAGAGAGAGAGAGGATTGAGTGCTTACTGTGAGAGTGAGTGTGTATGTGTGTGAGAGAGAGAGGGGTTAAAAATTGGAGAGAGAAGGAGCAAGCTTGCAAGCTTCTGTGTGGAAGAGAACCGTAGAGTGATTTTTTTTTTTGAGAGGGGTTAAAATTTGGTAATTAATATAACAATGGCAAGATGGAAATTTTCAGCATGTTAAAAGGGCAAAAACAAAATAATACATTTTTTTTTTTTTGTGATAACCCATAACTCCCTGAGGCAGGGCCCTTCGGACCCACCCCCAGGGCACCAAACTGGGGATACTGCAGCCTGCCCCACAGCTACAGCACCAGGTTAGTCGACGAAACTAGAAGGCTTGGTAGAGGACTCGAACACTGGCCTCTTGTGTGCCAGGCCCAAGCCCCACCATCACATAAAAGTGGTTTGAGGGGGTGTTTGCTACCTTTTTGTAAAATTAAGGTCTGACACCTCACAGTTTAAAAAGTACGTGTTCATTGTGCACAAAATCTATATCGAAGGGGTGTTTTGTGCACTTCACCCAAAAGAAAAAGCCCAATTTCCAAATTCGCTGTGGCATTTTTTTCTTTTGGAATTCCAAAATCTAGGTTATGGTGCAGGCCCAAGTCTAACAACCTAACTTCAACTTGGACAACATACTTGAACTTAAATTGTCATACACGGTTAGGTGTTTTAAGCGGCCTTTGTTGATTTCTTAATCTTGTGTCTATGGGTTTCTACTAAAGGATCCAAAATCTGAAGTTGATACTGTAAGAATGTTAATTACTGACAATAAAAATATTCATTTCATCTTTTGAAATTCTTGCGATCAACATTCTTACAGTATTTTCCTCCTGATTTGAATGGTAATGTGTTCATTATACAATGCTTGAACTGTTTGTTGCATAAATTGCGGAAAAGCAGATAAAAAATGGTGAAGCATATTCGTTCACATTATTTCAGGAATTTTGCAACACAGATTCGGTTGGCCCGTAATTTTATTATTATTTTTATATGAATTTGTGAACTGCTTCAATAATACTTGCTAGTAAGTTTCCTGTCTTCAAGGTTTATAACTACTTTTGAGTCCTGTCCTCTTATACTCATTCTGATTTCTTTGCAAGAGAGGAGATAAATTTGTTTATGCATGCCTCCCTTTGCTGTTCTTAATTTTCTTTATATATTTTGTTTAACCTGTGAAATTGCATTCTTAGAATTTTTTTTAGTTATGAGCTTTGCCATCTTGAAAAATCGTTACTCATGTCTGGCATCTTTTATCATATGCATTTCTCTTCCTTTACATCTTTATTATTAATTAATCCATTCTTTTTTCTGTGTTAATGTTTTCTACCATTCGGGCTGATGCTCTTTTGTTGTTGTGAATTGTTTTGGGAAGTTTTGTTTTCTGCCACCAGTATATTCATTTTGTTAGTTTCTGTCTGGGCTTCTTTCATATCTCTCTCTTTTATATATTGTTTTCCCCTTCTTCTATTACTTAATCTTGGGTGGTTACATATATTTTTCAATCCAGATTCTTGATTATCTTGGAAAATCTTCAGATACTGACTCTTCCTCACCAGCTGAATATCTATCTAGTAGATCCAGGTGGTAATGTAATCTAGATTCGTCGATGAAGCATAGATTTTCTTGTGTGTTTTATTAACGCATTTTTTCCTTCATGTATATTTCAGCCGAAAGACGTTGATTTACCTGATTCTTACACTGTACCACATCTATCCTGATTATGACTTCAGGTAACTTTGTATCTTCTGATCTATAAAAAAAATTTGGACAACATGGAGCTGAAAGGAGGGTTATGGGTAATGTCATTGTCAGCTTTCTGGGCGACATGGCAACCCGCTATATAATCCTTTCTTATAGCATTGGGAGTGTTGTCAAAAGGTTTGACAGACAGTTCAGATAACTGTTGCTCTTGTAGGAGCTGAGAGTTCAAGTCTCTCCATTTCCCAGAACCAGATTTACAGTTGATGTGTTTTTCAACTTGTATAACTATTACCTTTCGTGCTACTGATGTATCTTATGGATATTTCCCGTGGTTTACAATATTGCCAATATTTTTGCTGTTTACCAGTGCAGTGAATGCTCACCAGTTTTTCACAGAGGAAAGTTGGGACTGCTTTAAGCAGATTTTTGATACCTACATGTTTGAAGCATCAAAGGTATTGCCACATCTATACTTTTATGTGGTGCGCATCGTCATAATCATCATTGCCTTTATCCAACATGAATGGGGTCAGCCATGTGGATTCATTCTTTTCTATCACAAGCCAATTTTTCCTATTATTTTTATTTTTTTAAACTTATTTTTATGGTCAACCTCTCTCTCTTACCTTCTATACAAACTAATCTTCTTTTTCTCACCAATGTACGATAAATATGACTATACCACCTCCTATTGGTATTTTGAAGTTCTCCATTATTAGCACTCCTTCTTGTTGGGTTTTAGGTAGAAATTGTAAATCCATGGAGGAGATAGTTAATTTTTCTGACCCAGAGAGAGTTTAGAGGCCCTATTTGGCCTTGTGTAGCTTTTGAGGGACGTGCTCCCCTTTTGATCGCCTTTTTAATACTTACTCAGCTGAAAAAAAAAAAAAAAAAAAAAGACTACTAAACCAATTAAGTATATTTTCTCTTATTTTCACACTAGTAGGCGCCACTCTTAATCTCTCCCTCACACGACGATGATAACTTATCTTTTGTAGATACTCCAAGCACCCGTCTCAGCATTCGTGTTTCAACAACATTAATTATACAAGGCAACTGCAACATATGATTTAATCCAACTATAGATTCATTGATTTTTTTTTTTTTATCTTTCAAGTGATGCTGGCAATGCTAATAAAATAGCCTTGTGCTTTTCCTTTTGTTTGGGCCTCTTTTTCATGTCACCTTCCACAGAGGGTGCATTTTATGCATATATCCTTGACAAAATTTTTTTTTGAAAAGAAATTGTACATATGATCTTTTGAAATTCTTGTAATTACATTTTAAAATACCGTCTCATTGTATGGTAGTTCTCTCCATTTTTTACTTTATATAATTAAATTATTGATGCAGTGCAGGTCCTGACGTTCTATCATTTGAGCTTTTATGGACTTGCGTCATCTTTAAATTGCTGAGTACTTTTTGAGTCCTTTGTTTAGGTTTCTTTATATTTTGGCGGTTTCAGGAATGGGTTGAAGCCAATGAGGGTGGTCCTCTGCTGGAAATATTGTACAAGGCTCTAGATGAGGTGAACTTTACTTTTTCTTGAATGGGGGAAAAAAGGAAAAGAAAATAGAAGAAAAAAATGAATGCAAGTTGTACCAAGTGGCAATTTACCGAAATGTATCAATGCAGGTTGTCAAACTAGCAGAATGTGAAATTTACAGTTACAATCCGGAGTCTGATGCAGACCCATTCCTTGAGAGAGGAGCCATGTAAGTTCTATACTTTTATCATAAAGATTGTTAGTAATGTAGCTGTAGTAATGACCGGAATTTCTGCATTTTTCAGATGGTCGTTCAATTTCTTTTTTTATAATAGAAAGCAGAAGCGTGTAGTGAGCTTTCGTTTCTGCTGCATAAGGTGACCTTTTAAACCTTCTTTCAATGTGATGGTTACTATATTTTGAATATTCATGGTTTCACCCACACACTGCTATGATTTCTTTGAATTGACCAGTCGCTTTTGTGGCAGCAATTTGGTGGCCGATGGTTTTCTTACCGATGGGTTATGTAATGAGGAAGATGGAGAAATATTTGATGACATGGACATGTGAGTGTATGATGCTACTTGGACAATGTTAATATTGTTAAGACTTCCTGGAAGGTCTGTTTGTATAAAGTTGCTACTCGTTCAGTTGGGAAAATAGGGTTGCAAATGCTTGTTGCTTCCTGACCTGTGATGCTATTTATTGTGATGTATATCAGATGTAATTCAGGCCTGTGAACAAATGTAGGGTAATTCAAGTTCCTTGTGAATTCTGTTTCTTTTTACTACAAATTTTTTTATGTGAATTAGTGAAGCCTCAGTTTTTGTCTTCGTGTTCGCGGTCTCCTTGGTAAGGAAGACTCGTGCAAATGCTCCAGTGTGTTGTGCCCTGTATAAAACTGAAATGGACATTGGACTTGATTGGTCCTACTCTATGTACCCTTTCGTCAAGTTTTACTGTTTTTTTTTTTTTTTGACGAGTCTGGGGATGCACCTCAGCAAATCGTGAACTCACGACCGGGAAAATTTCATACCGACTGGACTTAAGGCAGGGTTGTTGAACCGAAGTCCTGAGAAAATAGGGCCAAGAATTGATACTGAAAAATGGTCTTTCGCGTTGTTGTGGGCTTCCTTTTCTTCTTAACTTGATTGATTTCAGCGGGAGTTTCAAGTTTTATTGTAGTTGAGCCTTGACAGTGAGTATTTGTGTTCTAGTCAATATTCTGATATGAAACTTGTAGCTTTGAAGAGTGGGATCGAACATATAAAAGCAGGGGAGATGATGGTCTCTCTTGTGTCGGCTGGGATCTAAGTCGATCCTTCTCTACATATCATACGTTAAATTTATGCCTCATATAAACGGCTTAGAATGTGCCACGTAATTCATAAGAATTAAATATTAGATAATGGCTTCGTGCAACAGAGTAAGTTGAGCCATTTCATAATGCAGGATCTCTCATGTCTATTGTCTACTAATTCGATAATGGCAGCAAGCCAAGAAATTCCAGTCGCTACATAGCTATTGCTTTCCCGTTAGTGCGCAGTTCTCAATGTATTCACTTGGAACACCACGAACCGATATATTATAGTAAAATGATCAGCAAAACAACTGATCTTCATGCTACTGTACAGAGATAACAAGACATACTAGGAAATGGCTAGCATCAGCCTGCAACTCAAAATGGTGCTTCGCCCCACCTTGATTTCTTCTGCTAACAAGGGGATAAAACAGAGCCTGTAACATCTAATTTTCCTTTTTTTTTCCCTACTTCTACATATATATTTCGGTAACCGTTCTAGACTGCGCCCTTTGGAGGAGTGCTTCTTGACGGTACACCATTGTTGCTACTGTTCTTGCTACTGCAACTGCCTTTTATTCTTGAAGATAGCTTCACAAACACTTCCTCCCTTTGGGGGCGGTTTGCGTAGAATAACCAAAGGGCAAGACACAGCATAACTCCTACTGAAATGAGGCCCAATCCTGCATTTACCATCTGCAGATAATGCTGCAGGGGAGGACAGTGACCTGAAGTGATATTTCGGAATGTGTCACGAACGAAATTGCAATCCTGGAAACTTAGTAATGGTGGGGTGTAGTGCTCAAGAGCAAAGCTTATGTTAACTGCTGCCACCAACTGACCGTACATGTCTGAAGTCAACCTCCCAACACTGCCGCAAAATCCAGGTGCCGACTCGGTACAAATGTAACTCTGCCAAACCTGAAAAACCACATTTTAAGGAGTTTAATTACATTCCACCTAAACAAATTTTACAAAGAACAATTAGTATTTTTCTCTTTGACAAACTAAATTTTAATTGAATTCGCACGTGCCACGCTAGCTAATCACACCATATAAATGGTTCAACATGCTCCAACATTTTAAGTCCCTATTTTATATTGCATATGAACAAGAGAATTTTTTTGAGATATTAAAAATTATGAACTTTTTGTCTCCATTTACAGCCATCTCTCAGTCATTAGAATTCATGATTGATCTGTTCTCCCATCCATCCCTGGAAAACTTCCCACAGTTTTTGAGGGAAAATTTGAAAAAAAGAGATGGACGAAATTTGAAATGAACTTTCAAATATAACCAAGTTAAGAATTGAGTATCAGTTTTGAATATTAAAATAAAACCATTGGAACCAAGATGACGCAATGCAAAAGTAGAGAGTAGAATTATTAAAAAAGCATGCTGCATGCCATGGACTGCAACCCAGCATATAGTAAAAGGTAACATCTACTGGTTCAATGGACATTATCGGATGACTTTTTAACGTCCAAACCCAGATGCTTCAAGCTTTGTCAGATTAGTATTCTGTTTGAACCATTGTTTTCTTTAACATTCATGAAGTTCGAGTTTTGGTCCGTCCTTAACATGAGCTCTGATGCTTTATCTTACTGGATTAAACAATTTCAAACCTTTTGATTTCTTAAATATTAATGAAGCATAATATTTTTGGGTCTTGGTGGAATTAAGATATTTTCTATGACATGATATGATTTTAAAAATAAGCCTGGCAATAGACAATAATTGCCATGTGGAGCACGTACCAAAGAAGCATTTGCCGTAGAAACCTCTTGAGATGGACATGGATAGTCTTGCAGTTGATTGTCATATGGGTGACAGAGTCGCGGCATTGTAGGTCCTGACTGGTTGTAATAACTAGGAATGATCTGAGGCGGCGGATTGGAATTGGCGACGTTGTCTATATATTGATCAACAATATTTACAATATCATTGATGACTTCTTTACTCTGAAACAGAGTCTGGTTTGTGGTTCTCTGGTCAACACATGGAAGGATGTTGGTAAGAGCAGTCTCTGCATGGGGATTATCTACCCATTCTCCCATGGCCATACAGGTGTCTGAAATTGCACTGAAGAACAACAAATTTATCAAGTAAGTACACATTTTTTAGCTTGTTCTATTAAGCATGTCAGCATGTGATTTGTTCTCTGAACCACTAAAAGGCCAAATCAAATTAGACAACCCAAGCAGATGTAATATTTCTTTCACGAGGAGTTTGGCTTTCCTATTATGACAGCAAAAATGACAGTCAACAAAGCTGCTTTCTCAAGAAGAAGAGAAGGTAAAAGAAGAAAAGCAGCAAATGCATTTCTCGAAGGTAAAGCAAGGAAAAATGGAAGTCATCTAAAATACAATATCTTACCTGTTAAGGATTACAAAAACTCCACAAAGAATAAACGTAATTGCCACTAGAAACCATCCACTAAAGATGAATCTGCATCAATGTGATAATCAGGTCAGGCAATACTGAAAGAATCCTGCACTTAAATAATTGTTTTGGTGTTGGAAGTGGAATGCATCAACTAAACACATAGATGACTCACATGTGAATTGCATGTTGGTGACCAAGGATAGACAGGACTGCAATATAATACAGGAAAAGATATCAGTAAGCCGCAAAAAGACAATAAGAATCAAGTGGGCAGACAAAGTTAAAATACAACAAAAGGTTGATGGGATTTTCCAGAGATACATACCAAGACCAAGAAGAGATAGGAGAAGCATCACTGCTGCAACAGTGATCAATGCTGATCGCCTGCAACAAAGAACTTGTTTATCAAACCATTGTTGAGTCAAAAGAAAAAGCTAAATTCATAATATTGCCAAGGTTATTAGACCATACACTGCATTGAAAACTCTTCGTATTTTGCCAGAATTTTCATTTGTTTTATCAGTCAGTGTATTTGCTGCAGTATCTAAGTCTATAATCAACTTGTCAATGTCATCTTTGACATCTGAAGGAAGGAAAACCTGGGCGACATTAATAGTCTTTGCAACTGACAGATACTCTGTGACATTTCTGAGTGTCTGCACAGTGTAGTCTGACTGGTTCACAACATAATTTAGAGTATGCAGTGATTCATCATGAAATTTGTCTTGTCCAACGGAAAGAAGAATACATCCTATCCTGGGTGAGAAGAAGAACTAAAGGTGTTAGCAAGAGATTAAAGGCAAGATGGAGTAAAAAATGAAAGAAAGAAAATTATTACATTCTCCAAGGATAGGGGAACATGCAGGAAGAAAAGCACAGGAATCAAAAAGGTAAAATTTTTACTCCTTCAACTGATAAATAAATGACAATTAGTTACACACACTCCAAATTAATCCCAAATGATAGATTTCAAGTACCTAAATCCTCAGAATTCAAAATTTCAGACAAACAACCTGAAAACTGTTGTCTTGGTGAATCTCAATCAGCCAAATCAAACAGAAATTTCAAGAAAGGTTTGACCAAATGTAAAGTGGATTAGAATATGAATAGAAATCAGCAAAAGTCCCAACCAAGAATCTGAACTAGAATTATCTGTTAAGATTCAATCTGAACCAATTTGCAGCACAAAAGACATTACATATGCCAATCTATGTGCAGCAAGACAAGTAAGAATAAAGTTTGAAATCAACCATTCATGAGAATGTTGAGGCTACACCAACCGAAGATAAGACGAGAGAACCAATTAAACTGGTTTAGTTTCATACAGTGAGTTATTGTCTTTCTTCTGGTTTATGAGGATTGCATTTCTCAACCAATGATTTTAAAGTTACATAATCCAAACAACTTCAGGCTTCAGAAACATTATTGTCAATACAAGTTGCAATTAGATGAATGCAACAAATAAGAACGATGTTGCTCAATACGAAAAATTAAGTAAAGCACCAAGGAAGACATAAATCTAGCAGCAAAGTTAATAACAGAGGTTACAGATTCGGAGTTCAGATTATTACGCTGCAGCACATGTGAAGACAATAAGCATTATCAGACATATTCTTTGTGAGCAGTACGACCGTTTGCCTTGGCCACTTATTCTCCATCCACAGCAGTGATGTACCAGAAGAGCCAAGCCAAAAGAAACAAACCATAGTGCAGCAAGGATAAAACCGGCAGCACCTGTGAATCCAACAGACTGCAGATAAAATGGTCAAAATAATGATAAAATATATGCAGAATTTTTTTTCTTTCTTGTCCAATATAGAACAACACATGACTTGGTCACCAGGTAAACATGCTTAAGCAGAAACACCCTCCTTGTGTTACTTAATATACACTATATTTTTTTCATAGTAACATATACAATCAAAACTAAATTAGCAAATATAGATTCTATAGACAATGTCATAACATTTTATCAACCAAAAAACAATTATATGTTTCCCGTAATACTTAAATTTCTTTTTCTCTATATAATTACAGTAAGATACCAACTGGCCTGTAATGCAATATCATTCAACCATTTTAAAATAGGAGATGAGATCAAGAACTTCCAGATTATTCACCCAGTCAATACGTATACTATTGAGAACATCAAGAAAGGTTTCACTGGACATATTTCTTGTTTTCAGGCTACTCTTTACAGTTTTCCACTAGAGTTACACATAACTCAACTCAACTCAACAAATCCTTTTCCACTGGAGTGATATATATTGGACATAAATGACTCTTAATTTATTGGATAATTTGTTTCGCCATCCAACCAAGTTTCTTATTACAAAAATTTCAGATTTGTCACCACTATTCATTCATGGATCATGAACTCTTGCCTTAGATCGATCGTCATAAAGACAAAAGTGGGATATTGAAAACATCTGAATCTCCTCCTACACTTGATTTAAAATCCTCATAATTATTGATGCAGAAATCTCAGATATTCCTCTAATTCAATCCAAGGACGACCTTAATTTAGCAGTATAGAGTACATAACTTGCATCCATGTCATAACTCAGATAAGTGCAGTTGACCCAAAATCAAGAATCAATCTCTTCTACAACTATCAAGCTTGAAAAGATCAATGAGATCACCACAACAATGAGAAAGAAGGGGAAAAATGGAACTTACAGCCCAGTAATGTTTATTGGCAATGTCCCATCCACCTCGATAACGCTTGAAGCCACGAAGAATGTCCGGCCTCTTTGTCCTTTCAGCAGCCAACACAAGAGGGACTGTAGGCACATCTGTTGCAGGTCCCGGTGCTTCTGCAGATACACTCAAGATTCCATCTTTCCAAGGCCCCAAATTCACTTCTCCTGCAAATTCCAACACAAATCTAAATCAAGAACTACCAATCCAGTTCCTACAGTACCCAAAGCTAAACACTTTCGTATGTGCAAAAAAGAATCAAACTTCACCATTGAGTAACATCCGTAAAAGCCTAAAAGAACAATACATTATAACAATTGATGAACCATCAAGAGCAAAATATGATTACCAAAGTAAACACATAATTACTACAACAAATCCAAATCTGGAATCACCAAAATCTAAAACAGTTCTGTATTTCTGAAAAAAGAATCAAATTTCACACCATTCAGATCATCCGTGCAACTTGTAAAGTACAAATAAGTGACATAAAACTGTAAAAGATCGATGCTTTAACCCAATTGATGAATGAATTATCCATCAAGAACAGAACAAATAGTACTAAACATTTCAACATATCATACATATATAATGTGTGCATAATTGTAACGAACCTAAGATGAACTTGAGAGTGTCTCTGGGCTCTGCAGAGGAGGGAGGAGAGCGAGCCCGAATGGAGCTCAGAAAGGCGAATATAGCAATGAAGGTAGCAAACTGAGCGATGAAGATCTTCATCTGCGGTAAATCTCAGTGCAAGAACCGCAAATGATGGGATTTCATCGCCAGATTTACTTCGTTCTACAGAAAGTTACATACATGTATCTATATACATACATACATATATAGCCCCACACGCATTTAGAGAGAGAACAGGGGATTCTTTCTACCTAAAGTCTCGTAGTCATTCTGTTCTTTTCTTAGGGTTTATATAAGTTAAAAAATCTACAGCGATTAACTTTTTGCTATATATATATACACACAATATAATAAATATGTGTATATACACATATAGCTATAGAGAGAGAAACTGAGAAAGAAGGAGGCACAACTCACATGGGTGGAGGAAAAGGTATGTCTGAGTGAATGAAGCAAAGATGAAGACGAATGGGAATTTATCTTTTGTCCTCTTCTCTCTCACTCTCTCTCTCTTTATGACTTTTATGGTGATTAATTACACTTTTTATTCCTTAATCAGATTAGTAACCTTTCGGTGGTTTCTCAATGGACGAAAATACCGCTTATACTGGAAGCAATTTACGGTATCTATCTAGCCATTGATGTTGTGTGACTCTGATTGACAAGGCTATTTTTGGGAATTTGTAGTCCAGATGGATGTGAACTAGACGTAAGTGAGTGTATCTTCCATTTATGTTAATCTGTTGTGAAACTTTATGAAGAGAGATAATCTGGTACATTTGGTGTAACGTAGCATCAAAATCAGGTTCGTTCAATAGTGGGTCCATGATGATTCTAAGTGAGTTTGGTACTCGTTTGGAAACTATCACGATGGAATCTGAGGGTGATTTTCTGCCGACTAACGGATTAGATATAAACCTAATACATATGGAAATATATATATATATATATATATATATATATCTACACACACACACTGTTAGTCCAACTTTCAAGAGAGCATGAATGACTGGGCACGTGACCCGATTACTTGTGGGCCCTCCCGGGACGACATGCTTTCAGTCCCGCGAGCGCGAATCGAATGTGAAATGGCGGGCCCAACCGAGTATGAAAAGCAGCGCGCCGCGAAGGATCGGATCTCCACCGAAAATGGTACCCATTTTGTGAGGGCAAAAGATAAAAACTTAAAAATAAATATTTTTTAAAAATAGTATATATTTGTAGTAGATGCTTTTATTACTTTTAAATTTTAATATGGCAATAAGATCAAATGTTAAAAAGTTGTTTGTCTTAGTGCAATAGGAGGAGGAAAAATCACTCAAATTAAATGTTTAGTGATGTGTATTTAGTACTTTTATATATGACTCATATGATATTATTCAAGTGGAAACTTACCTTCAAAAATTAAATTATTATTATTATTTTTTTACAACTCCTTCAAATTATACTTTTCTAAACCTACAGTTTTCAAAAAGTATATATATATATATATATATATATATATATATATATGCTTCTTGTATGTTGTTATTTAATATCTATAAAAGAGGTAAAATATAAATTTGGGAAGATATTAAATGACTTATCATAAAAGGGTCCAACAAGAAAATAAATTTACCACCTGGATTTGCTTGATTTGCAAATTGGAAGGTCAAAAGAGGATCTGAAACTGAGAATTAACTTTCTTATAAATTTTTAGGATTGTAATACAAAATCTTGTTCTATTATAAAGTTATAATATTACATGAATGCCTACCAAAAAGAGAAAATAATTAAAATCCTCCTTTACTATCTGATAACAGATAACAATAAATAATAGTGGTGTTCATTTGAATCGTAAAATCAATCTGATTTGTAATGATTGGATTGGTTTTTTTAGCAGATTTATAAATAAGGAATTCTCAAATCACGATTAACGAATTGGGTTTAAAAAATAATTCGATTTGTTAACCGATTTCATCCAATCCATTTAAATTTACATATATAAATTTTATGTTTATTATTTTAATTTTTACTAACTTTTAACTCCTGCTAACTTGTAAGTTTTACTATGGGTTAAAAATTTATCGCATAGTTCAAAAAGGACTTGGATCTGTAAGTTAAATATTCTCAAAGTTATTCTAAGATTGACTCGTAACATTTAAAATTTATCTACTTTCGTGTTAAACTACGTCAACTAATTTAAAAAAAAAATTGAAAATTGCACATTTTTTAGATAAGAAAAATTTACCAAAATTTAACAACTGCACCATTTTGAATTAAGAAAAATTTACCATACTCTAATAACATTTAACGTCGTTATCTGTATTTTTTTAAGTGCATATATCCATACTTATATATATATATATATATATATATATATATATATATTTATATATGTTATTTTCTAATCATTACTATTTCTTTTTTGGACTGTTTCCAAAATAATTGTCCACTTTCCTTTTTCAAATAATATATTTCACATATTTATATATATATGTCCTTGGAATTTAAAATTTCAAACTTAAATACTCAAAATTTAAAGAGGTAAATTAGTAACTTTTCAGGGGACAATGCATGTCCCACACATTCCCTTAAAAATTTATACTCCTTAAAAGCAACACTTAAATTAGTACGGAGGGAGTAATATTGAGTTATTTGAAAAAGATCCGTAAGACCAATTCGACCTGATTTATAAAAAAGCTTAATTTGATTCAATCCAATCCAATGTGTAAATCAACAAATCAAATTCAATTCAATTTTTTATCGATTTGTATTAATCGAATTGAATTGAATTGAATTTGAGGATACCAAAGATGGCATGGGCCGAATCTAACCCACATGATGAAGAATGGGCAGGCAAATGGCTTGGGCCAAATCAAGTTGTCATGAGACAAGCCCAATACCGAAGAGTGAATCTGAAGGCCTGAAAGACGAATGAATCGATGGATACAAAAGCTTTATGGAGGGAGTTAGTTAGGGATCTTCTAGAACATTGTAAACAATATATAAATAGAGGAAAATGAAACAGATAAAGGGAGGAAAATTTTTAAAGTGTAATGAAACTCTGTCAATTTAGAGAGAAAATTTATTGCATCTTCAGAATTTAATGTCCAATTCGATCCTATATGTGGTGACGAGGAGTCTAATTGTCCATTTCTCTGTATACTCTAAAGTCCGCATGAATGGCCATGTGGTGGTTGTTGTTTGTGTTGGGCTTTAGCTCAACGCTATTGAATAGAGTTGTTTAAAGTCAACATCAAAGATAGGGTCGGTACCTGCGTAGCCAAATCATAGTGTTTTTAATGTTGTCATTGTAGTAGTGATGCATCACGAAGAAAACAGAACATAATACAAAATAATAAGCTTCTTAATACTAAGATTGCAAACTATACATGATGTTTGATAATTACAATTTACAAGTAAGTAAATCACATGAGTCACGCAACCCACCCCTGCCATTGTCATGCCTTTCACGTTCATAGCCGAAAGAAAGGGGAAAAAGTTCATTTGCTCTTTCTTTTTTATGCTTTCATATCTCTCCGTGTCCCTCACACACCGAACCACTTTATATATAATTATATATATAAAGTAGCAGATGGGTGGTGCTTAAGGCTTAAGGAGAACTAAAAACTAGGTGTTACTATGCATTTCTTGGATGATACATAAAGGATAAAGTAAGCAATTAGTGACTGTCCCTCACACAATGTGAGAAACGAGGATTGGTGCTTTGGTGTTTACCTTTAAGCATTACTTATAACTTTGAGATATTAATCTATAATTGGTAAAATTCGTTGCCAAAACGAGTGCGATCGAGTTGTAAATTTTTTTTTCGATTTGTCAAGATTCAAGATCGGAAGCAAAATTAAAGGAAGGATTGTGTTCATACTTCGATACACTCCGTAATGGTGCAACACTTTAGGAAGGTAAGTGAGTGTATGAAGACACTTGGGTGGTTCAAAATTAGATTAAGTTGTAAATTTTTTATTCGATTTGTCAAGATTCAAGATCGGAAGTGAAATTAAAGAAAGGATCGTGTTCATACTTCGATACACTCCGTGTTGGTGCAACACTTTAGGAAGGTAAGTAAGTGTATGAGGACACTTAGGTGGTTCAAAATTAAATTTTTGGAAAGATTTTCCATTCTGCGTAATTTGGACCTGTTAATCAAAACTTGAACCAGTTCAACTTTTGGAGGATTTCAAAGATGTTCAAGTCTAACCAACTTGAAACGGTTCAAAAATTCCTGAACCGGTTCAAGTGTCAAAGTTGAATTTTTGACCTCACTTCTAACCAACTTGAACCGGTTCAAGAAGTAAGCAATTAGTGACATGTCTCACACAATGTGGGAAATAAGGATTGGGGCTTGACAAAATCTTGGGGTTCACCTTTAAGCAAATGCATCCAAGTTCCAGAAGTAGTGGATGCATAAATTAGTTTTTGGGATTAAATAGGCTATAAGTATTCAAAGGTAACCCAAGTTCAGTGTACAAGATTTCAGTTTCAAACTCTTGATCTCTAAGTCGCATTGATTGTAAAATATACTAGAATATATTAGACAAGGGCAGTGGCTATATAAATCTCACTTCATTGATAGCAGTAAATAAAATAGCAGAGAGTGGTCGCCCGGGCTAGTCCAGATCCGTCTCTATTCAGAACGTAATCGAATCATGTGTACGGTTTTCGAAGCTGGAGGGGCTTGATGTAGAATTGGATGGAAGTCGTGTGGTGAATCCGGCGCAAGAAAAAGAATGACGTCAAAATGCCTTCTAAATTGATTCGGACATCCATGCTCCAACTTGAGGGGAGTGTTGAAATTCATATTGAATATGTTGTGAATTCACTAATGAGTTAGTGGAAAGCAAGCTTCCCAACCCACGCGCTTTCGAAAAAACAAAAATATGAAAGATTTTTCAATCAATGCTTTGTGTAACGGGCTAACGTTAGCTAAGGCTATAAACAAGCCGAGCCGAGACAAGTAATGGTGTGCTCAAGCTCGGCTCAGTCAGGTAATAGTTTAGTTCGAGCTCGGCTCGACTATGTTTGACAAGCCTTGAGCCAAGCTAGATAGCTCATTTATTTTTTAAAAAAAATTTAATTTTTTTGTTGGTGGTACTTCGCATCTAATAGATCTGGAGCAAAAAATTAAAAAAAGTTTGAGAGAGAAATAGATTTGCAGTAATAAAAAGAGAAAAGTTTGAGGGAAAAAAAGAAAGAAAGTGATAAATTTGGTCGAAAATTAAACTTACCAGAGTTGATTTTGATGAAAGAAGTTGAGAGATGCATAAATCAATAGTAAATTCCAAAATTAATGGATTTGGATCCTCTAAGTTAAATCTTCTCTAAGTTATCCTAAGTTATTCTAAATTATTTTAAGTTGAATTCTCTACCTATTGACACGTGATATTTAAAATCTATCTACTACTTGTGTTATTTGAAATAAGAAAAAATTATCAAAGTTTAAAAACTATACCGTTTTGAAATAAAAAAAA